AGGACATGGTGTCCTTAATTTCATGTGTGCAGTGTAAATGTTAAGGATATAGTGTCCTTAACTTTATGAGTGTTGTGTAAATATTAAGGACATGATGTCCTTAACTTCATAAATACTATGTAAATATTAAGGACAAAGTGTCTTGTATTTGCACATTCCGTTGTTAAACTTTAGGACATTATGTCCTTAACTTTAAATATTCAGTGTAAATATTAAGGACACGACGTCCTTAACTTCATGTGTACAGTGTAAATGTTAATGACATAATGTCCTTAACTTGTATTTTCACCTTCTGTTGTTAAACTTTAGGACCTCATGTCATTAACTTCATATATGCAGTGTAAATATTAAGGGCATGGTGTCCTTAACTTCATGTGTGCAGTGTAAATATTAAGGACATAATGTCCTTAACTTTATGAGTGTTGTGTAAATAATAAGGACATGATGTCCTTAACTTCATAAATACTATATAAATATTAAGGACAAAGTGTCTTGTATTTGCACATTCCGTTGTTAAACTTTAGGACATCATGTCCTTAACTTCAAATGTTCAGTGTAAATGTTAAGGACACGGCGTCCTTAACTTCATGTGTTTAGTGTAAATGTTAAGGACATAATGTCCTTACCTTGTATTTGCACCTTCTGTTGTTAAACTTTAGGACCTCATGTCCTTAACTTCATATGTGTACTGTAAATGCTAAGGACATGGTGTCCTTAACTTCATGTATGCAGTGTAAATGTTAAGGACATAATGTCCTTAACTTTATGAGTGTTGTGTAAATATTAAGGACATGATGTCCTTAACTTTATAAATACTATGTAAATATTAAGGACAAAGTGTCTTGTATTTGCACATTCCGTTGTTAAACTTTAGGACATTATGTCCTTAACTTCAAATGTTCAGTGTAAATGTTAAGGACACGACGTCCTTAACTTCATGTGTACAGTGTAAATGTTAATGACATAATGTCCTTAACTTGTATTTGCACCTTCTGTTGTTAAACTTTAGGACCTCATGTCCTTAACTTCATATGTGTAGTGTAAATGCTAAGGACATGGTGTCCTTAACTTCATGTATGCAGTATAAATGTTAAGGACATAATGTCCTTAACTTTATGAGTGTTGTGTAAATATTAAGGACATGATGTCCTTAACTTTATAAATACTATGTAAATATTAAGGACAAAGTGTCTTGTATTTGCACATTCCGTTGTTAAACTTTAGGACATTATGTCCATAACTTTAAATGTTCAGTGTAAATGTTAAGGACACGACGTCCTTAACTTCATGTGTGCAGTGTAAATGTTAAGGACATAATGTCCTTAACTTGTATTTGCACCTTCTGTTGTTAAACTTTAGGACCTCATGTCATTAACTTCATATATGTAGTGTAAATGTTAAGGGCATGGTGTCCTTAACTTCATGTATACAGTGTAAATGTTAAGGACATAGTATCCTTAACTTTGTGAGTGTTGTGTAAATATTAAGGACATAATGTCCTTAACTTTATGAGTGTTGTATAAAGATTAAGGATATGATGTCCTTAACTTCATAAATACTATGTAAATATTAAGGACAAAGTGTCTTGTATTTGCACATTCCGTTGTTAAACTTTAGGACATCATGTCCTTAACTTCAAATGTTAAGTGTAAATATTAGGGACACGACGTCCTTAACTTCATGTGTGCAGTGTAAATATTAAGGACATAATGTCCTTAACTTTATGAGTGTTGTATAAAGATTAAGGATATGATGTCCTTAACTTCATGAATGTTGTATAAATATTAAAGACAAAGTGTCATGTATTTGCACCTTCCATTGTTAAACTTTAGGACATCATGTCCTTAACTTCATATGTGTAGTGTAAATGTTAAGGACACGACGTCCTTAACTTCATGTGTGCAGTGTAAATGTTAAGGACACTATGTCCTTAATATTTACACAACACTCATGAAGAAAGAGTAACAACGTCTTTTCGTATTAATTTTAATAGAGTAATGGCTATTTGTGCTCAACATTAAAAATACTGGATAAAAATTAAATACCATGTTAAAAAGTGGTTATCACAAGCCATTTCTTCGAATTTCGTCATCAACTTATTGTGTTAATTACAATTGCGGCCTTTGTGTTAGTTGACTAAGCATTTTGACCTTCAATTAACCATAAAAAGAGGTGTGACCCAGGTAGCAAACAGAAGTTAATAAATTAATGCAATTAATAATTTAAAATTCATAAAATGTTTCTTTTAGAACAACATAAGAGCTAATTCAACTTCCAATGAAATTGTAATAACCTACAAAACCAATGCTGTAGTCGACATAGGACTGAGAATGAGATGACAAATATTAGAGCATATGCATTGGTATAATCAACTAATATTAAAATCAGCCACGAAATCGTGAATTTCGCTAAAGCCTTTCCAGATTTAATATAATGAATTAAATTTTTTATTTGACCAATATACAGAGTCAGATTTTACTATGACGTATAAAAAATATTATTTGACCAATATACACCATATAAATTTTAGGAGGGATTGCGTTCAACTGAATATACTTCGCCGGCAAAGAAAAAAAGTTCCAAAAGGCCAACATAAACAAGCCCTTGGACATGTGATGAATCTTGAATTATTATTTTCAACCTTAAATTTTCATTGTGCAAAGGCATGATCATGATTCTGCAATACGAATATAAGTTTACACAACATTTAGAGCAAGATTTCCAAAATGATTAATCAGAGAAAAAAACACTGTTGCTTGGATACGAAAAACTACTAACAACTCCTTGGATATTGACTAGAATCCTAACCATGTCTGTCAGCTACAAACCAGTTTCAAACATGCAGTAACAACTGTTGTTAAGTATGCCACAATCAATACAAACAAGACGGCACAAATATTATAGGTAAGAAAAGGAAACAGAAGCGTGGGGAGAGGATCTTGGAAAGTTTCGGAACTCCTGTTGCAAAAAATAATCCCGAGGCACACCACTCCCTTTGAATTTGGCAACAATAACCAACTTTTCTAGCACCGTTGCATTCTTGAGCAAAACTTTTACCGATTGAAGTACAAGATAATTTCCACTTAGTGGTCAATGAAAGTTAATGATTTTGATGGTCTTGAGGTGTAGCAATGAGCAGTTAGAATTATGTGTCTCAAAACTCCTGCGTAGTTCATCCTCATTTGTGTAACTTAACAGTCAGTCCTGCATGAAAAGTCCGCTATATTAACCAGTTATTCTCATAAGATGGAAGTAGAAAGTCAAGGAGTTAATTGTGGATAAAATTAAAAAGGAGATGATTTTTTAGATTCAAGGAACATGTCAAGTGCTTAGCAAATGTTACAAAGTGGTACATGCAAACAACAAATAGAATGTTGGAACGCTTCATTGAAGCAGATCCTTTATCTTCTCGCATGAAGGTGAGTACTACTACACCTTGTTAACATCTTTATCTACAACTATAAGAAAGTTGACTGTAGAACTGGACGACTCATAGAATTGATAGTAATAAGATGAAGTTTCTGTCAAAGAACTCAAGATGAACTATTTCCTTGAGGAAAATAAATTAAGAGCAGATTTAGCAAAGAGAAACGATCAACTTTAAAGACTAAAAAGCAGATCCTGAAATCTTTGCAAAGCAGATCAAATGAAAATTTCAGAATTTGAACTACGCGGTCCCCTGAGCAATTTCTGTGAACACATTGAGAAATACTCACCCTGATGGCTAAAACTAAACATGGATGGCAGTTGCAGAGAAGGACCATATTTTCTATATGGGAGCAGGTGGTATAGTGAGGAACTCTTCCGGTGATACTATTATGGCATATACAGCCTCACCAGGCCATGGACAACCAATACCACTGACGCAATTGCACTTCCCTATGGGCTCAGATGGCGCCTTAAACATTGTATTAGCAACATTTGGGTGGAAGCCGACTCTTTACTTATTGTTAATGCTGTCAAGGAAGTCACAAAACCTTCTTGGCAGTATGAACCTACTATTGAAGAGATTAAAGAGTTGATTCAAGGTGACGCACTGTCAAACAGAAGCCAATGGTGTGGCAGATTATAAAGTCGTCTATTAGACCCATAGAAGAAAATTTTCAGCTTTAATTAAACACCAAGAGAAGCTAGAGGGCACTTAAAGGTTGATAAGCGGCAGCTCCCTTCCTCCAGAATTCATAAGAAATCCCAAAGCTTACCTCCAATAATTCAACGAGATGAATTTCCTGCTAAGATTTTTGTGAGCTCACATGTTACTTGAGAATACTCCTCACTTTTACTTTTTTACTTCTTTGGGAAGCAGGGTACAAGGGAACAACTCTCTCCACACGTAAGAAGCTATAGTTGTAAAGCTCATCAAGTACTTAGGCTAGCTATATTTCGCATTGTAAATCCTCCTATGAAGAAACACTCATTTTGCTTACACATTTGAGGCTTCTCTCTTATACTTTTGTCACAGATTGGAGCATCCTCAATCTTCAAATATACCACTGAGGAGGTTCAATTTTTTTTTTTTTTAAAAGAGTGATTATTCACCTAAAGTATTAAAGATAAGAAATACTATATTAATATATATATATATATATATATATATATATACTGCAT